AGCTGAGCATCCCTGGGATTGAAGATGTCTTTAACCACACCCTCATCCCAGCCCGATCCCTGGACATTCAAGAGGGAGCTCACTGTTGCATCAGAAAGATAAGGAAAAGGAGGAGTTGTGACCATGGGATTGACCACATCAGGTAACCATTTGTCGTGCCATATGCGAACAGAAAGCCCATTTCCGATTCTCCATCTACAATTTCGGTTAATGATGTTTTTTGTTTCAAGCAGACTAGACCAAACGAAAGACGGGTTACCTCCCTTTGTTGCCTCAAAGAACTGTGAATTTGGATAGTACTTTGCCTTCATAATTTTTGCAGCAAGATAATCGGGGTAGTTGATCAACCTCCAAGCTTGTTTCGAGAGCAAGGCTAGATTAAAATCCTTGATCCTACGGAAACCCATACCACCCCACTTCTTTGGAACACACATTTTTTCCCAAGCCATCCATCTTAAACCCCCCCCCCCCCCCCCCGCGCTCCACCTTTCCCCCACCAAAACCCATTCATTATCCTCTCTATATCACTCACCAGCCCCTGGGGGAGCAAAAACAAATTCATAGCATAGGAAGGTATCGCTTGGATAACACTCTTTAAAAGGATCTCCTTTCCGGCCCTAGAGAGGAATTTGTGGTTCCAGGAGTTGATTCTAGCTGTAATCTTACCCTTGATGAAACCCAGAATCTCCGTCTTGTTCCTGCCAACTAAAGATGGTAACCCGAGATAGTTCCCCGCATTTCCCTCCATTCTCACCCCAACAGTAGCCCCAACAGCCCCCCTTACTGCCTCCCCCACATTTTTGCTAAAATTTAGAGATGACTTGTCGTAATTGACCAATTGGCCGGTGGCAGCAGAATAAGACTCCAGAATATACTTACAGGTGGTGCTTTGAGTTTGATTGGCTTTGAAGAAAATATAACTATCATCGGCAAATAGAAGGTGGGAAATCCTAGGGGCATTACGAGCAATACTGATTCCATGAAAAGTTCCCAGAGATTCTTGTTTCCTTATGAGAGCACTCAGGCCTTCTCCCACGAGAATGAATAAGAATGGAGATAGTGGATCTCCCTGCCTGAGACCACGCTGCGGTATGATAGGACCGAGCTCGTTTCCATCTCTAAGAATGACATACTCCACCGTGCAGACACATTCCATAATTAACATCACCCATCTTTGGCAGAAACCGAACTTTAGAAGCATAGCTCTCAACATCCCCCATTCAATGCGATCATATGCCTTGCTCATGTCAAGCTTTAGGGCGACATAACCGTCTGCTCCCTGCCTCTTGTTCTTCAGATAATGTTGAGCCTCAAAAGCTATCATGATGTTGTCCAAGATAAGCCGCCCCGGGATAAAGGCGCTCTGGTTCTCCGAGATTAGGCTACTCATAATTGGCTTTAGTCGGTTGGCAAGAACCTTAGCAAAAATCTTGTACACTACATTGCAAATGGAAATTGGCCTCAAGTCCCCCATTAGCTCTGGCTTTGACTTTTTTGGAATAAGAACCAACTGTGTGGAATTTAGACCTCTTGGCAACTGGCCATTCTTTAAAAAATCATTGCAAAGTTTCACGATGTCAGGCCCCAGGATATCCCAGTAAGTTTGGTAAAAGCCAGGATTGAAGCCATCAGGGCCCGGAGATTTATCCGGATGCATTCCAAAGACTTCCATTTTTACCTCATCAGCACTGGCATTACGAAGAAGGTCGATATTAGTATCCTCAGTGGTTCTGGCTTGTATGCAGTTCAAGACCGGTTCCATATCACCCTGAGAAGACGTGAACAAGTGCTTGAAGTAACCAATCATGAGGTTGTCAAGCTCAGGACCCTCTTCACGCCATACTCCACTGTCATCCCTAAGCTTAGTAATGATGTTATTTCTCCTTCGACGTTGGCAAGACATATGGAAGAATTTCGAATTCACGTCACCACCCTTGAACCAGTGGACCTTTGCTCTTTGCCTCCAGAAAGTATTTTGTTTATTTAGGAATTCCATGTAATTCCTCTGAGCTTCTGCGAATTCCAACAGTCCTTGAGGATCAGTTCTGGTAATAAGAGTATCCATACGTGCTGCCCATTGATCAATCTTGGGTTGGAAATTAGTATTCAGTTTCCTCCCCCAATCCCATATAGCCTTACTACAGGTATTGAGACGAATTAGAACATGATAACCAGAAGAGTGCTCCCAGCAATTTGAGACAATTTCCCTACATTGATTCTCCTTCAACCAAATATTTTCAAACTTGAACCTTTTCCTTCTATGCCGACGATCCGTAGGGATGGTGCATAGACACAGAGGTAAATGGTCGCTAGTAGGTACTGTAATGGACCTGGCAGTAGCACTCCCGAATCTCTCCGCCCACGCATCATTGATCAAAATTCTGTCAAGCTTCTCACGAATCCAATTTGGAGAGCCCCTGGATTTCTCCCAAGTAAATTGACAGCCATCGAACTCGAAATCTCTTAGGCCGCTACTCTCGTTGATCAAAATTCTGTCAAGCTTCTCACGAATCCAATTTGGAGAGCCCTTGGATTTCTCCCAAGTAAATTGACAGCCATCGAACTCGAAATCTCTTAGGCCGCTACTCTCGATCGCCTCATTGAATCCCCTCATAAGCCACTGGGATGCGGGTGGGTACCAACCTTCTCAGAGGGGACGCGGATATCGTTAAAATCGCCCATTATCGCCCAAGGAAGAGAGCATATCGAAGCCAGGTGAGCAAGTCTACACCAAGATTCCCGCCGTTTGTTGCGCTTAGGATTCCCGTAAAATCCCGTAAACCTCCAAGGTTCGGGATTGTTTGTCAAAGTGATGGTAGCATCTATATGATATTTAGAGAAGCCCCTGATACTAACCTCAGAATCATCCTTCTATAAGAGGGCTAAACCCCCACTCCGCCCCAAACTATCAACCGTAAACAGTGCATGAAAGCCCACTTTATTTTTTATCGTCTGCATCTTCGAACTGTTAGCAAGAGTTTCCATTAAAAAAACAATTGTTGGCCTCTTAGAGTGGATCAAGTCCACCAACACTTGAACTGTCTCAGGGTTGCCAAGCCCACGACAGTTCCAAGCTAAAAAACTCATTGATGTAGGCGGGTCTGCCCAGCAGAACCCACCTCTAAAAAATGGTTAAGCCCATCATTCTTACAGCCTTCCTCATCCACGTTCATGGACTCCTCAGCCTGTTGATTGCACTCACTCGGCCCATTAAGGTCTTGGGCCCTTCTTTTCCTATTCTGATCTTGCATTAACAGATCCATAATGGAGGAATGGGGTTGAACATTTGAAAAACTTTTGTCGCATGTATCATTAATATTGCCAGTGTGAGAACTTAATGCTTCTGAACTCTGAGCACCCACGCCTCTTACCTCCTGGTTATTATCCAACGGGTATCTCACAGTACTATGTGCTGATTGTCTTCCCCCGTCCTCGTACCTCGGGATTCCATCCTCTGATGAATCGCCGACAATGATCTCCGGCTCCTGAGAAAGATGGGAGAGCAGTTCTGAGCGTTGCCATCTGCTGGCCTGGATAGTGTTGTTTCTTCTTGCCACTCTCAACTCCGGACCATACGGTTTCACAAAGCTCTCATCATCTATATCAAGCTGTTGTGGGCAAAATTTTTCACCATGCCCAAGTCTTCCACAGATGAAACAGAAAGTGGGAAGCCGCTCGTACTTGCACTCTAACCAGATAGACTCTCCATTTGGTTGCTTGATCTTCACCCCTCTACGCAAAGGTTTGTTGACCTCGATGGTTACCCTAATGCGAAGGAAAGCATTCCAAGTGCCATCATAGTTTGAGAAATCTGCCTTCACAAATCCTCCCAAACGTGCTCCTATGATCTCCACCATTTTTTGGTTGGCAAGTGAACGGGGAATCATGTGGATCTGGATCCAAAAATCGGCTTTGTCCAGGAGAACATCATAGGGTGATGTGTTCCTCTCGAGTTCTTTGAGAATGAGCAAGCTTTGGTCGTACGACCAAGGGCTATCGTTCAGGACTCTTTTCATGTCCTTCAAGTGGAAGAAGTAGAAAACAAATAAGTTAGGGGATATTTCTTTTGAAAGCATACCCCTTATCGGTCTACATACGGTTGCAAGGATGTCCTTCATGAAGTTGAACTTCACCGGTTTGTCTGTGAGAACCGTTCCAACTAGAGTGAAGACTTCTTCATCCCCTTCTGGATTCAACACATCTTCGTCTAGTTCGATCTCCACGTCGTCGTCATCATGAATATTCAGGGCAGCATACCTCTCTTCCAGCGGTTCCTTTCCTTTGCTGGATGAAGCCATGGCGGTGAAAGCAGAAAGGAAAGCCAGGTGTGATAGTAAAGCACGAGAGAGATTAATGGGGAGAATACTGAGGGGGATCACAGAATTTTCTCCCGGAGACGTACGATCATTTATGTGCTTGGGTGATGGGGAGATGAACTTCAACATATGTACCATGCAATAACTATCTGACAGGAAAAACAAAAACCGTTCACCAACTCCATTAAAGAACATAATGGATGCTCAACGACTCCATACGAGGAAGATAATAAATGCAGATCGCATTAAAAGGGGGAAAGCATGTCAAACACTAACATGAGGGAAAGCTTGTCAAAGAGACAAGAGGAAGAACTCTAGAGAGAGCTAGAGAGAGAAACAGTAGACTGCGCTGCATATAATTCCTATGGCGGGTTGTTATCAACCTATTATTATTGTTACTGTATTATTTTGGGTGTAGCTCATAAAGAAGCAAGCATTTATTAAATTAGTATGATTTTATGTGTTGAATATTGGTAAATTTGAGTAAATTAATCTCAACGAGATTTAAAGTGACAAATTTACATTTCACATAACAAACGTGACATGAGTCTTATGTGACACAATTAGATTAAATTAGTCTTATTTTTAACTTTTAAGTATACATTTATTATAAGACTCAGTTTACTGGATTAGTCACAATCTCACTTCATGAGAGAAATGTTATTTGATTTCACTAGATTAGTCTTTAAGACAAATGTGATTCAATTTGAGTGAACTAGTCTAACTTCATGAGAATATAGTAATTCATTTAGCTTAATCTTATTTAATTCTTTTAAATATGGAATATCTTAATCTAATTATAAGTAGCACCACCAGTTCCATAACCCTTGTTGACCTCACGCCCCGCATGGGTATTATGTGCCACGGTGGTCCTCTGAGTCCCCGTGGCGGTTCCGATCGGACGCGACTCCACCACCCCCTCCGTCACCTGCCCCATCGGGGCTCCGGTGCCGTGCCCCGGCATGGCGGACATCTGATGAGCTCCCATCGGATTCCCCGTCCTCCCGGTGGTTGAATACGAGTGCGGTTTGTTGGTGCCGGTGGTTGACGCACCCTGCCGCGCCGCCGCGTTCTGCTCCTTCGCCTCCTCCTTGTTCAGCTCCGCCTGGTTGATCCTCTCCTCTTTCTTCTTGGTAGCCATCTCTTTCTCCATTGGATCATGAGCCGTCATTCTTTCCATCTATAAATGCATTATTATTGATTAGTACTACAGACTAAGCCACTGACAGTTTTTAAAATAAGAAATTAAGATTCTAACAGCGACAACAACCAGTGTGAGATTATGCTCAGAATGAACAGATACTTGTGGAGATTTATTGGTAAAATTACCTTCTCTTGGACGACAGCTTTAGTTAGTCACTAATTCAGTAGACAGTATTTAAAAGAAGAAATTAAGATTCTAACAATGACAACAACCAGTGTGAGATTATACTCAAAATGAACACATACTTGTGGAGATTTATTGGTAAAATTACCTTTTCTTGGACGACAGCTTTGGTTTTTTCCTTTCCGGCTATTGCCGAGGCGCCGACGTTGGCGGCGGTCTCCTTCATGGCCTCCATTTTCTGTTATTTTCCGATGGTTTTTCCCTTTTCCGGTAAGGTTGATAAACAGTAGCGCGTTTAGTACAGTACAAAGTAGAAGATTGGGTTTTATACAGTCTTGTAATGTCAAGGGTTAAGGACACGTGTCATTTGAACGTAAGTAAGTACGAGATGTTTCATACATACTTTCGTCGATGTGCTGACACGTGTCGACAGATGTCTATTTGCCCGAAGCTGCAGCTTCCTCAGCTCGTCGTGGTGGTTGTTCTTAGACTGCATGGATAAGTTTATTACATGTTCCTTCAGGGTTTGGATAAGATTGGCAACACAGAAATGAATAATGGAGACATGAGACGACATACGATTTAAAAATTCTAAATACGGAGTATATAGTTAGTAATATTTTGCCCTCAAATATGCAGTACGGTCTACAAAAAAAGACTGAAATGTGAAGGTAGAGACATGTATTTCTCAAAATATGAACGTCCATTTTTATAAACAACAATATGAAAAAGAGGTTTGGAACATGCGTTTGATTTCAGAAGTGATTAAACCACAAACACAGATCTTTGTGTTTTTTTTTTTTCTTTTTAAAATTTGGTCGCTGGCGAAGCTGCCGCGACACCCTTCTCCAGCGAAGGAGAATGCAACCATTACCTTCTCCTTTGTTGGAGAAACCGTCAACCAAATTGCTGGCTTCTCCAGCAAAGGAGAAGGCAACCAGTCGCCTTCTCCTTTGCTGGAGAAGGGTGTCGCTGGCAGCTTTGCTGACGACCAAATTAAAAAAAATAAATAAATAAATAACACAAACACAAGTGAGACTTGCATTTGTGGTTTTATCACTTCTGACATAAACGCAAGTCTCAAACTTTTTTTTTTCACAAAAATGGACATTTACATTTTGAAAAATATATATCTCTATTTCACATTTCATTCTTTTTTCATGTGGTCTACTAAATAATAAAGGAATAGCTCACAAACATTTTGTGAAATTTTCAATGAGTTCTCCATGAAGAGAAAGAACACATGAATGCCAAAAAGAAAAAAACACGTTTCTAAGAGGAGCATGTAATAAAAATGTACAATTCTTTGAAAATTTTCAATCATCAAGAGCGCCAACTTTGTGAAAACAAACAAGTTATTATACCCCTATATTGGCCATTATATATGTTTGTTATTATACCTATTGGCCATTATTACATATCTAGTTTGCAATTTAATTCATCTAAAACTTATTTCCTTCGCCCGTATTCTTTTAAGACATGAATTTTATGTGTATGTTTATATATATTGAAAGGAAAACTTCAATAACTTCCAGAACATAGAAGAAATCTAAATAGTATGACCATGTTGAAAACTAAACATATTCACTGATCTACTAACTATCAGTGATCTACTAACTAATCAAATAGATAATTTAAATGTCCGACATTCTTTTAAAACACAAATTACTAACGAATCAAATAGACACTGATTAGCGTACTATACACTTTTATTAGTGACTTGTTTGAATGTTTTGTTATGTAACCACTTGAATGGACGCGCGAAACTATAATTCATTTATTCTGTAAATTTTATTCCAAGTCTCCGAATACAAATACATACATTGCAGGTGTTGGAAAAGATAGATATATAAGTAAAAACAACAAACAGCAAAACCTAATCACACATGAGATACTGTAATCAAACAGCAAACAGCAAAACCTAATCACACATGAGATACGTAATCTAGTGATGAGATCAGTAGTACGTAGGTCTGGTAGGAACGTCGTAAGGGTCGTCGTTGGGGTTTTGAACGGCGGCGGGGCAATTGGGCGGCTCGGAGTTAATCGGCGCCGGCGCAGGCACCGGCACCTCTCCGCATATGTTGGGAATGACGCGGTCACCATAAGCTGGAGGGGTTCCGAAATCGGTGGTTTCATCGTAGGAGACAACGTCACGGCCTCCCTGCCGTGCCACCACATGCCTTTCGGTAATGTTCCGGTCATGAGCTTCCCACTTGTTCACCTCCACGTCGTACTGCTTCGCCGCGTCTTTCTCCCGCTTCGCCGCGTCTTTCTCTCGCTTCGCCGCGGCTTCCTCCCGCTTCCTCGCGTCTTCCTCCCGCTTCGCCCATTCATGAGCTTCCTGCTTGTTCACCTCGGCGCCGTGGTGCAACTCCTCTGTCTTCCGCGTCGCCGCGTCTTTCTCCCGAGACGCTGCTGCTCTCTCCCGCGCCACCGCGTCTTTCTCCCGCTTCGCCGCTTCTCTCTCCCGCGCCGCCGCCTCTTTCTCCCGCTTCGCAGCTTCTTTCTCCCGCGCCGCGGCTTCAAGAGCTTCCCGCTTGTTCACCTCCGCCACGTACTGCATCTCCTCTTTCTCCCGCGTCGCGGCGACGCGAGCGTCTTTCTCCCGCAACGCCACGTCATGAGCTTCTCGCATAATCGACTCCGCAACTTGCTGCATCTCCTTTTTCTCCCGCGCCGCGGCGACTCGGGCGTCTTTCTCCCGTGCCGCCGCCTCAAGAGCTTCTCGCTTGTTCGCCTCCGCCACGTGCTGCATCTCTTCTTTCTCCCGCGTGGCGGCGACTCGGGCGTCCTTCTCCCGCGCCGCCGCTTCAAGAGCTTCTCGCTTCTTCGCCTCCGCCACGTGCTGCATCTCCTCTTTCTCCCGCGCGGCGGCGACTCGGGCGTCTTTCTCCCGCGCCGCGGCAACCCGTGCGTCATGAGCATCTCGCTTAACGTCTTGAGCTTCTCGCTTAATCGCCTCCGCGATGTGCTCCATCTCCTCTTTCTCCCGCATCGCGGCGACACGGGCGTCGTTCACCCGTGCCGCCGCCTCAAGAGCTTCTCGCCTGTTGGCCTCCGCGACGTGCTGCATCTCCTCTTTCTCCCGCGCCGCGGCGAGGCGGGCTTCTTTCTCCCGCGCCGCCGCGTCATGAGCTTCTCGCTTGTTCGCCTCCGCCACGTGCAGCATCTCTTCTTTCTCTCGCGCCGCCGCGACTCGGGCGTCTTTCTCCCGCGCCGCCGCGTCAAGAGCTTCTCGCTTGTTCACCTCCGCGACGTGCTGCATCTCCTCTTTCTTCCGCGTCGCCGCGTCTTTCTCCCTCATCGCGGCGACTCGGGCATCTTTCTCCCGCGCCACCGCGTCAAAAGCTTCCCGCTTGTGCACCTCCGCGTTGTACTGCATCTCCTCTCTCTCCCGCATCGCCGCGTCTCTCTCCCGCGCCGCCGCTTCTTTCTCCCGCATCACCGCTTCTTTCTGCGCCGGATCACAACCCGCCACCCTCTCCGCCTATATCCAAAATGAACACAATAATAATTTGAATTAAAAGCAAAAATAAAAGAACAAAACCAAAAACCCAACAAAAAGGAAACTAAACCTGTTCTTGTACGATGATTGTTGTCTTCTCCCTCCCACCCTTGGCTGAGGCGGTAGCACAATCCATCTTCTCCCTAGTAGTTTGCATTTTCCTACTTGTATATTTTCTTCTTTAAACCTCTTTGCTTTTGTGTTTTTCAGATTTCCTACTAAAACTTGATAGTGTCTTTGGCGAGTTTAAATAGGTAGCTAACGAGACGTACGATGTCGTATTGGTTGAATCAATCTGTTTCTTTTCTAGAAAATAAAATAGTGAATGAAATCTAAGTAATGATTGAAATGAGCAGAGCAGTGCCACGTTGATTGTAATGGGTAGGCGTGGAGCCTCCTAAAGGTTCCTTATCTTATTCTTTTGCATGTCACGGTTGTATTGAGATGAGAGCTCTACAGATAAAGGAGAAACTTGATTAAATTGGTCGAACAACTTGCTTGGTAATTGCATATTTATTGAATCACAAGAAAGTCAATCAATAAAAAATGAAAGTAATGTGTCGAATCATTCTCCGCAACCTGACACATAAATATAAATGGTTTTCCAAATAATAGTGTGAGCAATACGATTTTCGCAGATCACTCAAATCATAGCAATATTGTGTGTATTTTTCGTACAACATTTTGTATCTTTATCCTGGGTTAAGTCTACAAAATTTGACTTTTATTCAAAAAAAAAAAAAAAAAAAAAACTCAAATACGTATAAGATCAATTATTGTTTTACTTTATTTTAAAATAAAAAATTATTGGTTTACTTCCAAGAATTTTCTTTTGTTAGTCATCATCGCAAGTAAATTGTTATATCATGCACCAAGGATCAACCTTTGTAAAGTGAATCCTGATTCAAACTGCATCGTTATAGGTAAAATGGTTAACAACTATTCACATTCTTCAATATATACACACTACAATCATGATATACTTGTAGTGTAATATCTTTATACATTAAACTTCTGTTTCTAAGGACATGTAAAAAAATCTTATAAACCCACCAAAAAGTGAATATAAATATATATGCAATCTTATAAACCCACCAAAAAGTGAATATAAATATATATGCAATTTATTATGTATATTAAGGTGATAAATGTTACGGAGTACTAAACATGATACATTGATTGACATTGTTAAAGTGCTATTTAGACCAAGGTTTAATATGCCGAATAGATAGCGCTTAATGATATAATTTGTATATTCTAAGTAATTCTTAAAAAAAAAAAAAGTTTTGAGAATTCGAAAATACAATATAAAATTATCGAAAATTGTGAATTTTAAAAAAAAGTAAACTATGAACATTTAATAGGCAAATTATGTATTTTTAAATCTGATTTTACATTATGGACCGGATTCACATAATAATTTGCATCCTCTATAGTTTACGTACGTATCCCAATGATTCTGCATATTATATACAGAATATTCAAAGTTAGCCTTGAAACCTTCAAGTCATACTAATAAATTGAGACCAGGTAGTAAGTATAAACGATTACACTGCAGCAGGTGCATGTCACACAACATTCATCATGCTGCACAACATTATTGAAAATAATGGTATTTAGGATATGTTTGGTACATGAGTTTATACACTAGAAATGAAAATTAAAATTATAGTTAGTGTTTGGTTAATTCTTAAAATATAATTATGAGATTTTTTTATTTTTTAAAATAAAAGAGCTAATTCATTAATTTTATGTGGTAGGGAATATCTCGATCGACATAGCTTCACCACGACCGAGAAGCCTTTGTCTTTTTCTCTTTGTCTTTGCAGGTAACAGGTCGGGCTCCTTGAGAAGAACCCGGTCGTGGGCCGACCGGGAGTTGCCCGAGCGACGGTGTCGACCACCGAGCGGTAGCCCTTTGGCGAGAGAGCTGACGAAAGACACGTGGCGATTCTCTACGACGACAGACAGGGCACCCGGGAGGACGACACGTGGTGGCTACGTGGAGGACATGCCGAACGGCTGGAATCCTGTCCCCGGCATAGCGGCTATAAATACCCACAGTAGCTACAGTGTAGGGGACTTTTGGACGATCGATAGGTTGTTGTTAGAGAATCCCGACCCAGTCAGTCGGCACTCAGAGCAACCAAGTAGATTGTACTTAGGGCCTTTACCGTGATCAATAGAGATATTTACTTGCTTTAATTGGTCTCGGGTTGTTATATATTGCTTACGTATAATTTGCAGTATCATTTTGGCGCCGTCTGTGGGGACCCGTGTAAGAAACCAACGTCTTGACGAGCACCCGATCTCTATATCAACATGTATCCGTGGGCACACAACAACTTTGCCGACGACCAGGCGGATGCGGCGAGCTCCTCCGACCACTATGCTACCCAACAGCAGGGTCAGACGATGGACCTCAACCTCAACCTCTCACCACCGCATCCGTCAAATGCATACCCGGCCACCCAGCAACCGGTGAATTACATACAACCGGGATACCCAACACCCGGTCTGCCATACCAGCAGCAGCCGATGATGTATCCCGCCCAGTATCCGTACCCGCTCCCACCTCCGCCGTATGGATATTGGCCAGGCCAACCGATGTGCTACACTTCCCTGGTTGGTTATCCACCATATACGCCTGCTTACACAGCTCCAGCCGCCGCCCCTCCAGTACAACCGACCGCACAGGTAGAGCCGCAGCGTCAGTCCGCGTCCCGGGCTCGACGCTCGGCTCATTCGCGGTTGGGGTCGGGGGGTGCTGATGCGATGGAGGCCCCAGCTCAGGCCGTCCAAGCGGAGGACCCTGAAGAAGTTGCCCGAGCGGTGGCTTTTGATCGTCTTCGACCGGAGATGCGCCAGCGTTTGGGACCCCAAGACCCGAACCGCGGGCAAGAAGACGTACAGATGCAGGAGGCTAGCCAGGAGGCTTCATCTGGGTATAGCGGGTCGAGATCTCACCGACGGCGACGCGCTCGGGATACAGCCCAAGCCGCCGAGCTCAACGAAACCCGAGGATTACTCTATAACCTCTAGGCGGAAGTTGCGCAGCTCAGGAATGCGTACCCTGCAACACCCCCGGTCAACCAATCGACCCTGCACCAGACGCCTTTCACAGCAGCGGTAATGGCCCAGCCTTACCCGCTTGACTTAAAGGTCTCTGGAGAGAAGAGTTACGACGGACGGGCAGATCCTGAGGCCCACGTGAATGATTTTTTCAGCAACATGATGCTGAAGGGCGTTTCGGACGCCGTGATGTGCAGGGCCTTTTACTCGACCCTCACTGGTCGGGCGGCAGAGTGGTTCCGTACCCTGCAACCGGGGTCGATCGATAAATTTGAGACCCTGGCGATCAAATTTGTGAGGAAGTTCATCACTTCCAAAGTGGTGAGGAAGTCCTACATGTATCTCGAGAAGGCCAAGCAATTAGAAGGGGAAAGCTTGACCGATTTCCTCATCAAATGGAAAGCGGCGGTCGGGGAGGTCGAGCCTATGGACGATGCGACCGCCACCCACATACTTCACATATCTCTCCGGGCGGGGCATTTGTATCAGGACTTCATCCTACACCCCCCGACCAGTTACGAGGAGGCCCTTCGGAGGGTCACAGATTACGCCAACGCCGGCGAGGCGAACGCCGTAAAGCGCTTGCAGGAGGTCGGCTCTTCGTCCCGTAAACCGGCCGGCCGGGCGGAGCATCGGTCGGGAGATGACAATCCCCGATCCCGCACCAGGCCTGGCGAGTTTACGGCCTTGAACCGATCCGCAGCGGAGGCCATGCAGTACGCCCAGTCCTGCAATCTCATCAAACTCCCCCATCCCGATCGAGACGGCCCTGACAAGAGTAAGCACTGTGCTTACCATCGATGTGCCGGGCATGATACCGAGGAGTGTACCCACTTACGCCAATTGTTGGAAGATTTGCTTAACAGGGGAAAATTGGACAAGTGTGTGGGGAAGAGAGAGGACAACAAGAGGAACACCGAGCGGAGGGATCATAGACGTTCCCATCACCGCTCTGATCGATCTGGGCAAGACAGAAGGGACGATCGGCGGGATGATCGTCATGTTGATCGACGAGACCCCGACCCTCCGTCTGGTAGCCGCCCGTCCGGAAAGCCTACCATCCACGTCATTTTTGGTGGACTGGAGGATGCTTCCCGACCGCGGACTAATTGCCCGGTCGCTATAGTGGATTCCCGGGGACCAACCTACCAGCAGCGACCACGGCATGGAGGCGCTCGTGGTCACGATTGACGTTAAGGGGACAGACGTCCAGAGGGTTATGGTTGACACGAGCAGCAGTGTGAACGTCCTATACTTGGACGTGTTTGAGAAGCTTGGCCTCGACAGGAAGGAGCTAACTCCGGTCGGTGAACCACTGTCAGGATTTACCGGGGCTCTTATTTACCCCGAGGGAAAAATAACGCTCCCGGTGGAGATCGGCACACCTCCAAAGTCGATCCAGACGGAGCTGGAATTTGTTGTGGTCAACCTCCATTGCGTCCACAACATAATCTTGGGCCGACCCGCCATTATGAAGATCGGTGGGATAATTTCTATGCCTCACCTGTGCATGAAATTCTCCACCCCCAATGGGGTCGGTGTGGTCCGTGGCGATGTCCAATCCGCCCGGAAATGTTACACCCGAGCGGTTAATAGACGCGACTCCGGTCCGTCTTCCCGGGTGAACACCATAGCCAAGGAGGAGGCTAAGGATCGGAAGGAACAACCTGAGCCTTCCGAAGAAATAGAAGAAGTTCCCCTGTCCGAGGACCGCCCGGATAGGAAGATCAAGATTGGCCGAGCCCTCACCCCCGAGCTTCGAGCGGAAGTTTTGGCCATACTCCGGGAGTACGCTGATATCTTTGCGTGGGGGCCTGAAGACATGCCCGGGATCGATCGATCGGTCATCTGTCACAAATTGGCCGTCGATCCCTCAGCTAAGCCGGTCGTGCAGAAGACACGACACCTTTCTTCCGATCGCCGCGAATTTGTCAGAGAAGAAGTCAAAAAGATGGCGGCGATCGAGCACATCCGTCCGGTGGTTTATCCCGAGTGGGTGGCAAATATCGTTCTTGTTCCTAAGCCCCCAGCATGGAGGATGTGCATCGATTTCACGGACCTCAACAAGGCCTGTCCGCTCGACCCGTATCCTCTACCGAGCATTCACCAGATGGTCGACGAGACGGCCGGGGCCGAATTAATGAGCTTCATGGA